GTAAGTTTAAGAAATTAATTTGCATACTGCTTTTTTGGTTCTCGGCAAGTACTGTAATCATCCTCATCTGGCAAATTATGTGACTGGAGAGCTGAATATGGCGTGCCTGCATCATAGAGTGCCAATGGGGACTGTTTGGTTTCAGTAGTCTCACACTTCTCCCCTGGCGTAACTGCAATAGATTGTGTGAATTTAGAAGAGAACAAACAAGTATATACATAATGTTCCACAACCAAACTTAAGCTAAAAAATTAAAAACAAAACATTAACTCGGCAAGCTTGGGTTACCTTCAGAAGCAGGCAAGTCGGGTCTTCTATCTTGGGTGATGGTAGATACCTGAGGGCTATTTTGAGGTTTAGGATGTTCATGGTTACCAATGTATTTAATTTCGGCAATATGACCACCATGAGATCTCTCCACTTGTCTTTTTGCGGTGCAATTAACGTGAGTGCATTTATAATAACTCCGAATAAATTCATTTCCTCTAACAAACTTCTGTCCATACTTTCTCCAGTTGTACCCATCTTCTGATGGTTTTTCAGGGGCTTGCCCATTTCTTTGATCAAACTGTGGCGCATGAGCACCAATTTCAGGGTTCCTCCTAGGCTGCAATTTGTCTAAACCTTTCTCAAGTCCTTCTGGATGAGTCACTCTTTCTCCATCAGAATGAGCATCAAAGACACCTTTTAAAGGCTTTGGATGATCCAAATCCTCTTCAGAAGTTATTCTAGAAAGAACGAGAGAATCTGACATGTGATTTCCTTCATCATTGCTATGTTTGTTTCCAGTGCCAACGGACTCCTCCTTTGGCACAATAAAAACTTGGCTAAATTGTGAAGCATCATTATCTTTCCCATGATTTGCAGGATGCTGTTTTTTTCTTTTGCGTGGTTGAGATGCAGAACTCCCATCAACAGCAACATTCTGCCTTTGCTTCATTTCAAGGGGTGCAATTTTAGGATTATCAAGTTCTGCAACTTTCTTTTCTCTTGATTGAGATGGCCGTGGTTTAAATTTGGGCTTAATTCTGTTCTGGAGCTCAACAGAAGCTCCCTCAGCTAACAGCTGCTTATCACTTACGTGAGTCAGGTCTTGCTTCACCATCAAATTTTCAAGGGAGACCTCATGGACGCGCTCTTTCATCTGCGTAGCCATCGAACCTATGAAGAGAGAACTCTCGAAATCAGCTAAAGCACAATCATAATACACTCATCTCAGCTGAGGAGATAGAGATCAACCGGTTTGAAAAGTTACAGTAAAAATTAACAATCTCGGAATAAACGATCTTGAGAATTAACAGTAAGAATTTATAGACTTCATACCTAGACTAGATTTCTAGAACTAACAAGCCAGTGATTGATGAAATTAGAGGTAAATATGGAAATAAAACGAAAAGCTACTAACTTTCTTATATTATTTCATCACCTTTAGCTAGCAGACAGTGATGAAAGGGGTGATCCAAGATAGAAATCAGTACATGACAAGATAAAGAAGATGAGTGTGAAACGTAGAAAAACCAACCCGAGATCCGGAACCGATCGAATCAACTGGGAGCTGGGCTTCTTCAGCTTTTCCGTATTGACTATTGTGAAGGGCCGGAGAGAAAGGATCGGAAGAGGCGGAAGGAGAGGGAGTCTGGTTGAGGAGCAGATTTGACTTGACCAATTAACCTTTACCTGGCAGTACATCTCCCTCCCTATTTACGTATTCCCTCCTCCAGTCTATTTTCGCTACTTTAATTGTTTGATTGGATTGAAATTTTTGGTTTATCTCATCTAATTTGATCTCATAAATGTTTAGTCGTATTTATAATTATTCAGGTTTGATTTGTTCTGATATAATTTAAGACAGAATATAATCCAAATAAAAATATCGTTCGTATCTTTTCGTTAATTGGCGGAGTAATAGAAAATTAGAAATTACGATTGTAAAAATATCAACCCTTCATCTCACAAAATTTTACCACATTTTCTTATTTAGTCATCGCAAAATTTTTTGGTTTCTCTTTAATAGAATATAAATATGAGTCAATTCCTTAAATAGGACTAAAAAGTGGCAAAATTGCACAAATAGGACCACATTTTTTAAATTCTCTTAATAGGACTATTTATGTGTGTTTGGCCAAATATACCTTTGTAATTTGTGAAATGTTTTAATTAATAAACAAATCATACAAAAATAATAAAAATCGAAAAAAATACTAAAAATCATAAAAAGATAATAGAAAATTAATAAAAATATTTTTTAAAAAAATTAAAAAAAATATTTTTTTAAAAAAAATAAAAAAAATAAAATAAAAAATCATAAAATTAAAAAAAAAAACATTACCACCCCTGCCACCCCCAACACCACCAGCTCCCATCACCGGAGAAAAATATGCCAACATTTTAAATAATGCCATAATGATGGCATATTCAATGAAAATGTTGGCGTACTGAAGAGTAATTATGCCATCTTTTTGGCATTTTCAGAAAAAGATGGCATTTTTTTACCAAAAGTGGAAGAAATTTCACCAATCGGAGGTGGTGGTGCTGGGAGGCGGCGGATGGCGGTGGGAAATGTATCCATAATTTTTTTCATTTTTTTTATGGGTTTTTACTATTTTTTATTATTTTTTAAAAAAAAATTAAAAAAAGAAAAATTAAATTTTTTATTTTATAAATGTTTTATAAATTTTTTTATAATTTTTTTACCTTTTTTAAATATTTTTTACGTTTTTTTATGATTTTATTATGAATTAAAGCATTTCATTATGAATTAATACTCTTAGGGGTATTTAGGGTAGAAAATCTATGTTTAGTCCTATTTAGGGAATTTAAAAAGTAGTAGTCCTATTTGTGCTTTTTAGGAACTCATTAGTCCTATTTAGGACAATTTCCGAATAAATATGTGTTCAAACTTATCTCTATTATCTTTTCACATATTTTTTATTTTTTCATGTGTAAATTAGTTTTGGTCAAGTTTTTTGTGAAAGTAGTAAATAGTATCATCCATCTCTTAAAAAAGTTACTAGGTACTATAATCTTTTTAATGTGTCTCTAAATAAATTATTTGATAAATAGTTTTTTGTCCATGTACTCAACAGATTTGTATATGGTACCACCGGCTGTACGGTGAACACTGTACAGTCGGCCCAGTCACAGGCCCAATGGAAAATAGAAAAATAATTCGGTGGCAATTTTGTAATTTTGATAAAAAATATGGTTTCTCTTGAATGAGCATTAACACAATTTTGTTGAGTACCAAAACTGGTATTTTGAGTACTAGGAGCCTAAAAATGAGCATTAGTGTTCTCTGCTTCATATTTCTAATCCGTTTTTTTTTTACTTTTTTCGGTTTATAAAAGCTCTTAAATTATGTTTATAAACAATTCCAATTCATTTCAATATGTAAATCTAATATAGTATAATATGTTTAAAATGTGCAACATTTTAAAATGAGCATAAAGAGGTATCAAATAAGCATGTACCTATTTGTTTAGTTTAGTAAATACTCCGTATATACGTAAATCTGGCTAGTACGGAACCATATACGTATCAAATAAGCATGTACGTCTTGCTAATAAATACGTATTTGAAGATCAAGAAATTGACTTCATCAAATTTCCAGCCACCAGTACGGAACCTTGCACGTTTCATGAATAGTCGAGTACGGTAAATTATACCGTACAGCCGGCTGTACCGTGCGCACGGTACAACCAACCCTTTTACCGTTTGAAACCTTAGTCGTCTCCTCTTCTTCCTTCATTCTTTTCTCTCTTCTTTTGACTTTAATCATGGAAAAAATTTCGTTTAACCAGTATTTTCAGTTCTATCTATACGTTTATTTTCTTGCGTTGTGTGTAGATAATATTTTCGGTGGCGAAGTGTCGCTCGTCAGATCTATATTCCCTGCCATCATCGGTCAGGTGTTCTTGTGTGCTAGTAATAGGCTTGTATTGTCTTCTTTATCAATCATGTATTCTTGTGTTCTTGTGTCGCCCCCCTCCTGAACCACCACTGATCCAGGAAGATGACATTGAACAGATTGCTTTCTTTCCGATGCTTGGTTAAACCGGATCAATTTCTGCACTTGACTCCGTACTGGTGGCTGGAAAAACCAGCAAGTTCAATAATTCCTTTTTGGCGGCTGGTCAAGCCGAACCCATTTCGAGTAGCATGAACAGACACATTGCGGTATGAGTCTACATTGTTGCAGGGTTAGCGAACATGAGTGCTTTTATATGGCGTTTTTGTTCTTTGTCTCACCTTAGTATAGTATTGAACATTATGATTGTAATGTTTCGGCTTTTAGTTGTTATATTTCTTGTTAAGATCTAATTATCAATAAAATGATTATTTGATTTTCAAAAAAAACTTGAGCTATTCATAGTGTACATTAATTATTTAATTCCAAAATATGTCATTTCCCATAATAAAAATTATACAAAGAAAGTAAATGTGTTTGGGAGATAAAATGTAAATGTACAAACAAAAAAGAAAACAGTCCACATTTCCAAATCCATCTAGAAATGTAAAAAAGGAAACAAATACTAAAACATATTATAAGAGAAAATTTGATGAAATATAGACCGATGCCGTACACATTTAAGGACTTAAGGCCCATGTCAATTGTTCTAAAAGGTGTTTATAAGCGTTAATGACAAGCCTTGAGCTCGTATGAAATCAAGTGAAACCTTGGTGTGAAGTCATTTTAAATTTCTTTTTAGTAATTACTACGTATTACTTTGTATTTTTATAATGATGTATACACAAAATAAATAAATACCCAAAGATAACTATACAAGTTTGTTTTGGCATAATATTCATTTTCTTCCATAAGGATATAATTCAAGCATGTTAAAATTATTTTATGAAATCAGAAGCAAGTCCAGCAACACTAGGTAGGCAATTTGGGTACATAGTTATTTGTGTACATTATTGTGGCACAAATGTATTAGATGATGAATAATTAGAACTTTCTATCACTGAATGGATACAAGATACAAAGAAATGTACCCAAAGAATGTAACACAAAGAATGCAATACAATAATATACACCATTTTGTACTTCGAATTATATAATCACGGATTAAAAGAAAATTAAACTGAGAATGAGGAAATAGTTTCCATACATCATTTCCACTTACAGATCATTGGGAAATTATTATCCGACGCTATTCCGCGTTTGGTTGGACTGTAAATAGAGATTTTAGTTTACAAATATTACGCCAAATGCAAGTCTATAAAAGTACCGAGTAGTGTGTAACTGTATGCTTTTAATACATTGACAGTGCTCTATTCAACAACCATATAAAGCTGTCAAATCCATTGGCATCTCATAACATAACCTTTTTGTAAGGTTAATAACTGTTACTTACAATGTATGCCCATCATAATTTGGTCCCCAGAGTACATTACACTTTTAAGTGTGTAATTTATTTATTTATCTATTTCTAAGAGAGGCAACCCCCATTCATCACCTCGAGTTTCCATACAGGAACAGAGTACAATGTGCGGTTTCAGTTTCACATAAATCAACTGTCCTGGGAATGGGAGAAGAACCTCAACTGTTGTCAATAACAAAGGGCGATGGCGGAAAATTATCAAAATGTAATGCCAGCAGTAAAACTTTACTCTAGAACTTGAATGGGAAATTGTGCTGCCATGAAAGCTTCCCTTCCTGTTTTGCATAGTACACAGCTATTGCCAATAAAATGACAAAAACTACCATCCAGAAACTGAACCCACCTGCAAAGAATGTAAATACTGCATAATTTACATATTGATGTCACAAAACTAAACCATCATCAACTCAATAATACTGATATTATTTGATAAATAAATCATGACATGAGAATCAAACAAACTACGAACTATTTTCATTGTCATTGTCCCTGATAAGTGTCACCCTTGCACTTGAATCCATTGAGGCAGAGAGCAAAGCCCTAAAAACACATGAATTATTTCTATTAAAAAAAATACATATTCAAAACCTATGGAACAAAGGCAGCGGTTTATAGTGAGTTATAGGAACCTTGAATCCTTGGAGAATGTTACTTTGGTTGGTATACCCATATGTGCTTTCTTAACCGTCATCAGCACTCGCATATTTTCAGAACTCAAGACCCGGACCTCACCCTGAGTGGTCCCACTGCAAAGAAAATTACCACATTAGTTCTTCCCTTTTTTCTGATTATTTTCATTCTAATAGTAGAAAACTAACATCAAGAAATGTGATTTACAATGGCAGGTAAACAAAACAACACCCTAATCAAAGCAATTGTTGTTCTAATCAATCCATTTCAACCTTTTTATACTGAAATAACCTCTTGCTTAACAATGGTGTGTGGCTCTTTACTTCACCTGCCATTGCAAATCATATTTCTTAGCAGAACTGAAGGAATATCTTTGTATAAGAGTGTTTGCAATTGCTTAATAAGCACTTGTTTTCTTTGTTCTTAAAAAAGCTAAAAGCTTTAAGCTTTAAACTGCTTTAAACAATTTTTTGGCTTGAGAATATGATGGAATAAAGCAAAATGGCTCACTAAACTGTCTGCGCTTCTTTGTTATGAAGCAGCAGTCAGTCCATGCAATTTTGGATACGTTTTTCACTATGGGTCATCTGGAAACAGTCTCTCTGTGCTTTAGTACAGGGGTAAGACTGCGTACATCCGACCCCCCTACCCCTCCGTAGGTGGGAGCCTTTGCAGCACTGGGGTAAATGAAAATGATGAAATGAACCAGCAACCATTTTTCAAATCACTTTTCTTTCCAAAAACCATCAGCTTTTAAAAGCAAGCACTTTTTCTATATTCTCTATAATAAATCACTTATTACAAGCAAAAGCAACAGCCAACACAACCTATATATGACACTGGTGACCTGAACCAGAGCATATAAAACTCAAAATTAGACTTGTTCACAACCATATAAACTGCACTCTTGAACAAGTCTCACATTGCTAGGAGCTTCCCATCAGCTGAAACATCAAATGCTGAAATCGGAAGAGAGACAACAAGCTTTGAGTTCATCCTCTTCCATGTAGTGGTGTTCCACACCACAATACTTCCTCCTTTTCCTACATGTGGAGAGGAACACATCATATAATTATTTTTGGGAGAATTTGACTGCACTCCATTTTTTGCGTAGTATTTGACTTTGCACCCTATTTTCATGTATGCACCCCCAATTCATTATAAAATCATTTGACTTTGCACTCCACTCCATAACTTTTGGGCTGATGGAGTGTGCACATATTAATGATTTTGAAAATGGGTGCAAGTCCAATATCACCCAAAACATGGAGTGCAAAGTCAAATTTTCACATTATTTTACTAGATGTTAATCCATAAACTAAGTGGAAACAAAAACGAAATAAACGTCTACAATTACATGTATACCATGTGAAGCAGTGACGTAGATGGTCTGGTTCTTACTACTTTGTGAGAACCTACAAAATCCAAACATCTCATCCTGGTTTCGAGAAAAGAAACAGTGTCAGAAGACTACTGCAAGAATAAAAGTGGCAATGACAACAAGAATTTCATGTGGGCGGACATACATTATTAAATTAGCTGTTTTGTAGCCACTTTTTTGTCTCATTGCTTTATCAGCCAACTTTTTACTAAACACAAATTTGCTTGACTGTGCGCACTGAACTGGTTAATAATGAAAGAAAGTATGTCTACAAATAGCATCCGGCTGAAGTTATTAATGATAATCATTTTAGCCTTCATATACTTTATCTAATTTATCAATACAATTTGTGAATTTACTCACTCATTCCCTATATTAATCTTCGTTTTTTATTTAACACACAATATAAGCTAATGGAGTATGTATGATATGTGTGATTGTGCGGTAAGGAAAGAAAAATCATCAACCACGTATTTCTTTCACAGTTTCATGAAAAGGGTGAAGTTTATTCGGGACAATCAAGAAAGGAAAATGGTGGAGTGTAATCACAGGACGGGGTCATGATTCAGCGATTTCAGCAACTTCTCCTAAACCAAAGAGGCTCAAAATTAGAAATGATAAACAAGAAAATAGATCTTCAAGAAGGAACTAGGTCTAACAAAGAAATATAAAGTGCCGCATTTTGACCCACTTTTCATCAGGTCAAGTTTTATGTAAAATAAACAACGCAAGAAGTAAACTTATGATATCAAGAAGGAACTAGGTCAAGAAGGAACTAGGTCTAACAAAGAAATATAAAGTGCCGCATTTTGACCCACTTTTCATCAGGTCAAGTTTTATGTAAAATAAACAACGCAAGAAGTAAACTTATGATATCAAGAAGGAACTAGGTCAAGAAGGAACTAGGTCTAACAAAGAAATATAAAGTGCCGCATTTTGACCCACTTTTCATCAGGTCAAGTTTTATGTAAAATAAACAACACAAGAAGTAAACTTATGATATCAACAGCAAAGTGCCAGACATCCAACATATTCAATTTTGGCATCCAACATATTCAATTTAAAGACATCGGCTTCAACAATAAAAAACATGACCAGTTGTTGAACGTCAAGGAGTGACTCAGAAACTTAGGCCATACATTTTTCTTCTGCAAAGAGGCCACCAATGTTAATGTTGAGACATCCCAGACCCTACAACAGCCACTTCCCAGAGATACAAGAAATTTTCCATCAGGGCTGCAGATATGATCAAATCAACCCAATCAAAATCCTAGATTGAAGCTGAAGTTTTAAGGGTATTGATAGTGTGACGTTCATGATTAAAAAATAAAGTAGTCACTACAAACCTGAAATCTAAATCTTTTACAGAAGAACGATCCTTGGGCTCATCAATAATAATTTCCATGCTTGGCCATTTGAAAACTCTAAGCTTGCCATCCTGTTCTGCATAAAGAAGTGATAATAAAGAACAGTGTTTTTGTTTTACTAAAATGCTTCTCGCTGCATTTTAATATAAAAAAGGGGAAAGGACTTTAAAAAAGAGAAATAGGCAAGTACCCCTATTCTATATAGTACATTTTGTTTTACATCCCTGCAATTTTTTTTGTTTTTCGTCCCTACAATTTATGTTGGTTTGTTTTTAGTCCATCACTGATGATAAAATCATCTACGCTTGAACTCAAAATAACCCCGACTAATAGATTTCTTCTAATTATCTGTCATGTTATTCAAAAAGTATTTCATTTTATTTTTAAAATGTGAACACTTAGCTTGGCATTGTTTTAATTCTCATTTTAGCCTCAAAAAAATTATAAAAGGACAAATTTAAATATTTCTAGTAGATTTATGCAACTAACATTAACTTTTTCCTAATAAGATTGGTTTCAAAATTAGAGATGGGCTAAAACCAAAATAGTGCATATTATAGGGATAAAAAAAAAAAAAATTGCAGGGCATTAAAACAAAGCGTGTCATATTTGCAGGGACTAAAAGCGTATTTAAGCCTTCTATATATGAGTAAACATACTTTTAAATACTTAAATAGCTTACCAAAGGCTACTATATAAAAAGAAAATAATATTTACGAATGCTGATTCACTATAACCGCAGCATTTGCGTTTTTATCTTTCGAAATTCAGATTAGAAAGGTTTTCTACAATGTTGTAAGCCAAGAACTTAAAAATGTGAGCAGTAGAAAAGAAGACATCTACCTCACCACCAACAGCAAGTAGGGAACCCTCATTGTTAAATGTAAGTGCTAATTGCATCTCAATGTCTTCCAAATGCTTAAGAACTCTATCAGATGACTTTAGAGCCAAAGCACCCTCATCTGTGATATTGCTCGCATCCCACTCAAACAACCTAATTTCAATATTCGTGATTAAAGTGGATTTATTTTGGAAGTTAAAAAGTGCAAAGTAAAAAAAAAAGTATACTATCTGTGCTTAACTGTATACACCCTCCATCTCACAATTACCTTCTCACTTTCCTTTTTGAGATGTCCCAAAATCATGTTCCTACTTTTTTTGGTAGTATTTGAGGGGTAAATCTTTTACCCCTACGATAAGTACATCATCAAGGGGGTATTTGGATCTGATTCTTAAAACTGCTTCTGCTCCTTCAGGGAGCAGAAGCAGAAATTGGAGTGTTTGGGTGAAAGTGCAGAAGTGATTCTAGTGGTCTAATTTACTCCTAGAATCAGTATTTTTAGAAGTTGGGGGGGCAACTTCTAAAAACTAATTCTGATTCTGCTTCTGCTTTAAAAAAGAAGCAGAAGCAGAATCAGTTCCAAACACCCCCTAATTATTAATTTTCTCTATCGTACTTTTGAGGAAGGGCATACTTGGAAAGTTAATAAAAAAGTTATTTTGCCTTAAAAGCGTGAAGTTAACTAGAAACTTAACTGTGGGAAAGAGGGGAAATTATAAAAAGACTGCAATATTTTGCATTCTAAAATGCTATGCATGAACTAGAATACTAGATACAACTCTCCTCTCTTATTTCCCCCATTCTCCAACAACAACAACAACTACATACAAGCCTTATTCCAAAAAGAGCTTGGGGTTGGCTAACATGAACCAATATATGATATCAGAGAAAAAAATATACGGAGTACATCATAAGTAATTGATATATAACAGTGGTTGGTAGTATTTTTGCCTCATTCTCTTAGAGCCGGCCATGAGGCCAGTTGGCCTAGGCAATTGCCTAGGGCCTCACAATTTGCTGGGGCCTAAAAAAAAATAGGCTATTAGTAATAATACTCCGTAGTTGAAATAGGATTTGGAGATTGTACAGAGAACTCTTTCCCCCAAGCTTGAAGCCTCCAACGTCGATAGAAACTCCCGTTGACCTTATAATCCACCACACAGCACTCGGCAGCAAGAGTTCATCAAAAACATTAGGTTCTCAAGTTCGGTTCCTATTTGTGATTGATTATTTGAGTATTTTCTAGTTTCTATTGTCAATTGATTATTCAATTTCTGATTCGGTTCTCCGGACTTGCAGATTTCCAGAACCAAGCGTGAGTATTTTATAGAGTTCTAGTTTTCTTGAGACCTTTTTTGAAAGGGATGGTGTGGTGTTGGCTTGGTGTCCACATTTCGAATTTTGTTCTGCCCCTTTTTGGTTAATAATTTAATAAATAGTAATGGTTGTAAGTTTCTAATGATTGCCACTCAGTATTAGAATGTTTCACACTAATAATTTATACCAATAATTGTAATAATATTGTGCATTTAGTTATTTGGCCAGTCATTTTTATATTGATACTCCGTATTTTTTATTGTGTGTTGATGTTTTTTTGTTAATTACGTTGTATTATCTATAAATATGTAGGAATTGTCATGACGGGTAAACGAAAATTTGACTCCAAATGTACAAAAAAAACTTTCGAAGAGATTTAGTTATTAAATCAGTTGCTGACTCTATAGATCGATTGTAAAGACAAACTTTTCTCGTTAAGAATGGAGATGTTGAATGTTTAGTTTATCTTAACTTTTGTGACTGTGTGTCATATAAATCATACGGAGTATTAAAATGGTATGTGAAAAATGTCTTTTGTCTGGGGCCTCCAAAGGGCTAGAGCCGGCCCTGCATTCTCTAACAGTGATTTTTTAGAAACAAGTAAATGATAGGTCATACACTATACTGGAAGTTTACCTGCAACTTTTAGGTAAAGAACAAATAAGACCTTCTCCTCCAGGGTGGACCGCCATCCTGTAAGGCACATCAGTACCAGTTCCAAGCCTTGCCACCTTAAAGGAAATTCAGTTGATATATTTAAACATCAAAGTCCAACCTCATGCAGAAAATGAAGGATGACTAGTCAGCAATGTTGCATGGATACAGATATTTGGATACGAGGAGTAAGGCTAACTATGTCGTACTTGTCAACTATGTTGAACAGGGCTATATTTGCAAATGATAAAAAAAATTGAGCTAATTTGCAAAAAATAAGTAAAAAGTGATTAAGGGTTCATAAGTAAATTACCAATAGTAGCAACAGCGGATAAATATGATATAAATACAAAGTCTTGAGTTACAAGCTTACAACACAGGGTTTAAAATAAACTAATTGTACTTTAAAATTTTAAAAGTTCAATAACATCAAACTCGACATCTATCTTATTTCCATTATTTACATTTGCATTCATGTCCTTTAGCAATACCAATTGGCCGATTCAAAGTTCGACTCATCAATTGAATGGTTGACCATTTCAAGTTCGACTCTACAGTCTACATTGCGGTGAATGAGAATCAAGAAACCTTAACTTGAATATGCATATCGGTCTATGGATACTGGTGGAAGTTTTTCTTTTTATTAATTGGTCCAGTACTTTCATAATATTATGGATACAGGCCCAACACATAGAGTATGTGTATCAGTGAGTATCAAGATCGTATATGTATTGGATATGCTTATACGTCAGCATGTCAAAGTGTCGGTGCATCATAGCTTGTCAAGACTTGTTTAAGTATATCTCCGAATAGGGTCAAGAAGCTAACACTTTCAAGTATTTCTTCTAACTACTTTTTCATGAGAGTAGAAAACTCATAACTTTCATTAAATGATCAATTCGTCTTGCTATTTTTCATTTCAAATTATCATCATAAGAACACAAGCGATCTTATGGAATATTATACTGCCACTGCCTTAAAAAAGCTTCGTACTTTTCTTTTTGGGATGTCCCTGAATAAAGTCCTCTTTACTTATTTGGTAAGCGAATTCCTATTAATTTTTTGCTCTATTACCTTTAAGTAATAATAATGATTGTCTAGGAAACAGTGTTAAACAGTACCAATAGTGTTTGTTTGTTAAACAGTACCAATAGTGTCAAACACTACTCTAGAGTAAACAAGGTGTTTCAGGAAGTCAAAGAAAAAACATATCCAACTGAGTCTTTATCTTTGAATTTTTGATTTGATGAAAGAAATAATCAATAAAAACAAAATATATGCACCTCTTCTGCAGTTCTGCCTTGATATATTCATATAAATTGCAAATTTTAAAGATTTTATGGATTTACACATTTATCAGATAACTTTTCCGTGTGATGGACGTTGCAGTTTATTAATTAGCATAATTTGAGTATCTCAATATTTCAATACTAAAATAAGAAGAAACATGAGTCACATCAGATCTAGGTCTAAAACATTTCCATGAAATTAAAACCAACTCTCTAGCAGCCCTTTACCTTCAGCTTATTTCCCATTTTCCCACAAAGGCGGTTTTCTGCATTTCTAGTTTACTCTCGTTGTCTTGTTAATAGTTAATACCTACATTTTCTTCTCTTGATATATTTCCTTTGGTTTATTTATATCATAAGCACACAAGTTTTCAGTATACATATATTTGTGTACGTGAATGAGTAGAGAACATATGTATGTGAATTAAGAGCATGCATAGGAAGAAATTAGTTCTACAACAAAAAAACAGAAATAATATTGACAATGGCAAAGAAATAGCACTCACTGGTTGGTTGGATAGGATATGGGAGTCGGGGTTAAATTGAACAAGGAGGATAGCATTTGGGACGCCGCTACGCCCTTCACCACCCCCTCCAGCAAGGACAATATAGTTGTCAGCAGCAAGCGAAGGCAACTTGTCAGCGGGGGCCATACTATCTCCATCTTCCTCCGGCTTCGGCTCAGGAGCATATGTGATGGCGCCGGATGGGACCCATGCAGCTCCATAAATTGGGACCCCATACTTCTTGAGTTGTTCACCATCAGCCATATCAGGTGCTGCTGATTCCTTCTTTCAATATACTATAATGCAAATATGCAATGCAGTTTACTTTGCCAATTTTCCCGGTGAAAGCTGACAGAAGAAACAGTAGCAAATATAGATAAATATACACTCGAACAACAAAGTAGACATACAGATTGATAAAGTCTCTCAAATCTTTATAACTTGCTTTAACGTAGTATGGGGCATGGGAGTTGTCCACTTTGCTCATAAAATTATTTGCTGGCCTGAAAAACACTTGATGCAAAATTCTAACTACACCACTTATTGTGTTATGACTCTGTGCCTGAAAACAAAATTAAGTTCTTTGCAAATTCCAGCCAAATAATGGAGGGGTGAAAATAGATCTTGCTTGTAATCTATATTGAACTTCGAGATGTTCACTTTTTCACACCAGCAATCCAACATCTCTGCTTGAAATTTTCTTTAGCCTAATCAATACCAAAAAGATAACAAAATGCAGATTTCTAATGTTATAGTTAAACTTTAAATACAGGTATTTAAAGTAGATCCGACTCCAAATCTTAAGAACTAGAAATACACAGATATACACACACACACTCATAGACAGGCTATCAGTCTATTCTAAATACAAAGCATGTAGGATCTCAAACATAAAATTCCAGAGTAATATTCCAAACGTATATTCCAAAACGCAAGGAAAATAAAAGATATGTAGAGTCGTTTAGATTGAGATTTTTCACCATAGATCTAAGAATTAATTTATGATGATAAAAAAACATCTAATAATTGTATTACATATCTAGTTAATCGAATGAAGACATCACATTTGTTTAAGAATGTGTTATGAGGTTCGGTGAAAATGAAATACCTGGACATGAAGTACAGTGAGTTCTCGAATAGAAGAATGTCACACAGAACACAGAAGGGAGGGAAGTTAGTGAACATAATGGGATTTACTCCCTGTAAATCTGTAATTTCCTTTCATGGGATAAAAAGTAGAAACGAGAGATCAAAATGGCAATTTCCTTATATAAGTAGAAATAATAACAAAAATGTATTCCTGGTCAAATTGACTTTTTTCTTGGTCAACGATGATCAACTTTGATAAATGATATTTTTCATATAAAATTATTTGAAATATGAAAATTATATGAGCATATTCTTTATTAAAAAATGTTTCATAAAAGTATAAAGTTTATAAATTACACATAAATACAATACCTAAAAATCTAAAATTATTGTATAAACTTTAACATCATTGATCAAGAAAAACCAAATTGGTCAATCTTTTTGGGACGGAGGTAGTATATGATTAAAATAAAAGTCATGAACAAAAATATGACTTGGTCATTACAGCAGCAACTTTAGTTACCATGATTGTGTTGAACGCTACCACTATGGTGACTTGCATAGTCACTATAGTAACATTTTTGTCTATTAATTAATTATATTTCGGTAAGATTTACGGAAAAAATTCAAGAGTTCTCCCTATATTATTAAGCCAAACTATCCTTAGCTAGTTGATTCACAATACAACTTGGGATACAATCATAAAACACTACACCATCTGGCTTAAGAAGGGCCTCTCTAGCCAAGTTGTGGGCTGCCTTGTTTGCATTCCTCCTACAGTGGATAATCTAAATGTCTTGCGCACTACAAGAAATCACACTTTTTATGACAAAAAAAATGTGACACACAAAAATTTGTCATATTATGTTTGTTGAGGTTTATTCCTTCAACCTGTAGGCCCAACACGCAACCTATGGGGTTTGAGTGGAGAGAGTGTGTGTAGATATAATAATAGCAAGTAAGATGGGCTTGGAAATATCTACAATAGTGGGCCGAGTGTTATTAAGTGATAATAAGGACTCGTTACAACACACTAATGCTATTGTCCAACGGTCGCTCGTCTGCTTCATAAGAAGAAAGGCTGCGAACACCGCTTAAGAGTTGCTAGAATGCTATAATGCTAAGGCGGCTAAGTTGTCAATCTTTTACAATGAAATAAATGGTATTATTTATACTACTAAGGGGAAGGTGAATGTGCTGACGTGGAGAGCTGTGGATGGCAGAAGTCTCAAACACCAAATCTCTATCATTAAATGCGCTTCCCGCCAGGATCTTGGTTTCCCGCCCAGTCTTTGGGGACACGCGTCCCATGGATCTTGGGCTTGTCCCTGAGGATGCCACCAAGGGCGAGACGTTTTGCATCTTCTGGCTGTTGGTGTAGGAGTATACTCGCTAACCTTGGGCCAGGACTCCTTAAGCTGAGGGCCAGGAGGGAGACGTACGTCTGAGCTGCTGATGAGTCCGTATTTAGACACGCATTTGATGCGTGTTGGGATCGGCTTTTGATGATTTTCCTAGATTTAAGGTGTTACAAGTCTCAATTTTAGCTCAAGTTATGTTTAACAGGTGTTGGTTCGAGTTTTGTGTCATTTGGAGTCAAAATAAGGATTTTAGAGTTCGGCACTGGCGCTTGAGGAGAAATCGGGATGAGTTGAGATTTATTCGAGAGTGGATTGAGAGCTTTGGAGGTCACCGGGAGGTTCACGATGAAGATTTGATGACAAAAGAGCTCTAGGATTGGCTATAAGATCAAAAGAAGATGAATGAAGCTGGAAAACGACGATCAGGATGACCTTTGGTCAATCGTTCAAGCATATCTCTTTGTAGAATCATCCAAAGGACACGATTCAAGTTGAATATGAAAGCCAACTTCAAGGACTACAAATCATGTGAAGACATCATTCCGAGAATCTGAGATTAGAAAGGTGCAAATAGATGATGAAGTCAGATGATCTCTGCTGCGATTTCAGAATGATACCTTCCACCGTTTTGATCATATCTCTTTATTGGATGATTCAAATCACATTTGGCAAATTGGGGTGGATAGAGGACTTCATTATCTACAACATTCATGAAGGAAGTTTTGTCAAATTCGGAAGTTTGACGCACATCGTGCGTAGGGGAACGCACGATCGTGCGTCTGAGGCGAGAAAGCAAGAGAGCCACTGCCACGTACGCACGATCGTGCGTGGCAAGGTACGCACGATCGTGCGTACCCCCGAAACGCGGATTTCAGCCCCTTTTTAGTCCCAGTTCAGCCCAAACTCATCTGTTTTCTATAAATAAGACCCTCATACCCATATTTTGACGTTACGAACATTACGGAGAGGCCTAGGGACGAAATTACTTGCGTTTTTTAGATTGTTTACTCCAAGACCCTGGGATTATTTGTAAGTTCATCTTTTTAATTAATGACAATTATTTCTATTCATCCCAATTCTGTTGATTCTTCAATTATGAATTGTGAGTAGTTTAATTAGGGATTTGGGGTTGATGAAGGGGTTAATCATGATTGATGGCTAGATTCTTGTTGGTTTAATTGCATGAACGCCGTTTAATTTGTGTTTGAATAATTTAATTGATATCTTTTGTAACCTGGAACCGCGGCTAGAATTACAATTGCTTGTAGAATAAATTAAGAGAGATCTAGTTTATTCTAGGACACATTCACACACACTTAATCGTTCGCTAAGAGATTAGTAACGATTAAGGGGCCGTAAGCTCGCTCGTTTTGGCAATAATTTAGGATCCTGTCGCATGAGAGATCAGCCTGGTCCCCTAAATTATTGTACTCTACGCCGCGAGAGCGGTAAGAACTTAGTAATGATTAGCTAGGCTCAATTAAATCAATTTCATGTATTTAGGCCTGTTCTGCCAGAAATATGGTTACCCCGGATCAATCCATGTTCCCTTCGTCGTTAATTAAGAAGAAGCCAATCTTTTATTTTAATTGCTCATTCGCATTAGTTTAATTTTCCAACCCAATCATATCTCGCACGACGCATTTTTTATTTATTTATTTTTAATCGCTGAATTTAGTTAATTCTTAATTCCCTTTTGTCCGTCCCTGTGGAGACGATACTCGTACTTACACCACTATATTACGATCTATTTTAAGTGCGATAAAACACACATCAGCTGCCTTGGCCCCTTGCACTGATGATGCCACCAAGGGTGGCAGGCCATACGTCTTCTGGATGTTTGACGTACTCCTTATGCTCGATGACCTTGGGGCTCGGACCCTCTAGGTTGGGCACCCGCAATGGAGACGTACATCGTTGATGCCTTGGGCGGCCCAGATGGGGTTGTGCGTTGGTGGTGCCTTGAATTGTGATGGATAGTTGGCCTTGGTGCCTTGGAGACGTCCATCTGCACTCAACACCCTTGTAGGGCTCAGACGTTCGTCCATGGAGGGGTTAAATAGGTCGATCCTCTAATTGGGCCATTAACCCAACAATGTTCATTAATAGTTACAAAAATTCAAATTCGTCACAGTAAAAGGTTATGTTATGACAATATTATCATCCGTCATTTTAAGTCTTATATTTCGTCGTAAAATGATGTTTACTATGACGATAAAATCAAATTTGTCACTTAAATTTTGAGCGCCAAAATTTGACGGCAAAAATTTGGAGGGAATTCATTTGATGACAATTTAGAAACAATTAATGACGATAATTTGTGTCACGTAATTTTTAATTATTATGACAAAATCATATTTCGTCACTAATTGTTTAGTAAAATAATGACAATTTTATTTTGTCATTAAAGTTACCTTTTGATGACGATCAACATAAATGTGTCATATTTTTTATTTTTGACAAATGTTTTTTTATAGCAAAAGTAACAACAAAAATTATACGAGATAGTATATGAAACATCAATATTAATAGATAGGGAAAACTGTCAAATAGGTCCTCGAACTTTCATAAAAAAGTCAATTAAGTCCTTCTATAGGAGACTTTGTCCGGTCGTCGCGATTTGGGGCGGTTCCCGGTGGAATTTTTTGATGAAATTTTTTGAGCATCTTACTCATCAAGTCTAGTTTACTCATACCAAATTTCAGCTAAAAATTTAATCGGGAGCGCATTCAAATTAATTTGAGAACGCAAAAATGCGCAGTTATCTTCAAGAATTAATTTGAATGTGTCCCCGATTGAATTTTTAGCTGAAATTTGGTATGAGTAAACTAGACTTAGTGAATAAGATGCTCAAAAAATTTCATCAAAAAATTCCACCGGGAACTGCCCCAAATCGCGACGGCCAGACAGAACCTCCTATAGAAGGACTTAATTGACCTTTTTATGAAAGTTCGAGGATCTATTTGACAGTTTTCCCTAATAGATATTGACATTATGACCACATATTATTTATCATTTTATTCATAATGAGTGAAGTAAACTTAACTGTGAAAATATTTTTTTCACTAAAGCTCGCTTTTGATACTAAGAATGTTTTCTTTTGAACTGAAATTTGTTGGTTTGGTCTGGTCTGGTCTGATCTGGTCTGAACTAGTCCAGTCTGGTCTGATCTGGTCTGAACTAGTCCAGTCTGATCTTATAAACGTCTGGTCTCTGTGTATTTTGTAAGTATGAAAGTTTGGTCTGTCTGATCTGGTCTGGAACTGAAAACAGTCCAAAAGAAAACATCCTAAATATCTCTAATAAGTCATAATTTTACATTTTAGTAAGCATATTGTAACAAAAATGTGAGCAAAAATGCAATAATAATAATAATAATAAAATGATGATGATGATGATGATGATGATGATGATGATGATGATGATGATGAGAAGAAGAAGATTGTAGTTGTATTGGCTAGAAGTGAATACGTTGTAATTTTTTTAAACCACACTTTTTAAACCCCATTTTTTAAAACCCCACTTTAGAGGTCAATTAAGATGAAAGAAAAAGATAAACAAGTGCATGTTTTAAATTTTTCCAAGAATGTGACTAAAAGTCATTTTATTCCTTATATTTTGTCATATATTTATTTTTTAATATTCCTTTTATACATTTAGAGCCACCAGCACCTCCGGACTGCCGACCCCTGCACCGCCGCCAGTCACTATCTCAGTGACTCCGGTCAAAGTGACTCAAGCGAAAGTGACTCCGGCGAAAGTGACTCCGACGAAAGTGACTCCGGCCAAA